AGTTAGATACCTAAATTCAAGACCATACATAGAAAGCTTAGGAGCAGAAGATCACGATTAACTATATATGAATTTCTGATTCCAACCAGAAGTCACGTTATTTCAATTCAAAACTTTTTCCATGAAAGTAATTAAATAGATGCAGTGGCGTACCGTGGGTGTCAGCCGCCCGGGGCGGAGAAAAATTTCGGCTCCCCTTATTTAGGTATTTCAATTTAAAAGACCAAAATTCAGTTTTGTCACAGAACAAGCAATGAAAAATTCGGTGGTAGTGCAGCAACCTGTTTAAAATAGTTCTATTGGATATCAGTGGTGTATATGAACGCGAATGAATCGTGCAAGCAAAAAACAAAAAAAAAATCAACAGGTTTCGCAGGATTTCCTTGGATGAAAAATTTCTACTTCACCCGGACGGCGAGCCGATTCCCGGACTGTCCAGACGATAGCACTATCGTAGGCGCGATGCAAGTATAGATTAAGATGTTTTAAATTTGAAATTTTTACAAGATATTATTATTATTTATTGTGAAATTTTGCCGCCCCCTAAAAAGTGCCGCCCGGGGCGGGCCGCCCCTGCCGCCCCCACTACGGTACGACGCTGAATAGGTGACTAGCTCGACTCCATTGCTAACGGGAAACTATGATGTATAGGGATAAGACACTATTGTATAGTACCAATTTCATATGGAGAACATATATTTTAAATTAAATAAATTAAAAATATGAAGAAAACTTGCAGCCCGCATTGTGACGATATCACAATAAATAATTGCTCGTACTGATAAGAATATTGTAATTGAATCCAAGATGAAGACATTATTTTGTTCATTAGATCAAGAATGTGCTGTTTCTAATTGTGAAAATTTGGGATTTAGTCTATGCTCACATTGTTTCAATTCTTCTGTGTATTTTTGATCATTTTGAAATACGAGTATTTGTCAATGATTTTTACTCTAATTTTGACCAATAAATCTATAAAAATCACTTATTTCTATGTCTTTTAGTTACCTCTATCTAAGTTATTGTGAATAATTTTTATATCACTGTATTCCTTGTTTAATTCTGTGTCAATGAACTATATTTTATAGAGGAGTAGAATGTCTCAAAATACTTAGTTGTTAGTTGAACTTTCTATCTATTTTTACGGGCTTTCCACCAGCGCCCCACATTTTTATTTTTGATCTAATAATACCAAGAATACTGTTAAAACTGATAAAAATTATTTTTTGCTTTTTAGTTTATTTGTAAATAAAAACATTTGTTTAAATTTAAAAAAAAAATTAATTTCTACTTTTAGTTTTCCCGGCTGTTATGTATACATAACAAGAGAAAGTGTTAAAATTGTGTCAAATTTGAGCCTTCTGGATTTTTGCAAAACACGTTTTCACACCCCATGTGCTATATTTCGACAGGAGTCGAACTTAATGAAGATTTTAATTGTTATTATCATTTACAATTTTTTATAAAACTCATCACTACCTTCAAAATTAAGCTTTTTGCAATTTTATAAAAATTAAAAATATAGAATGTTTTCATAACAAAATATTACAACAGATGGCGTCATACGCAATTTTATTTATTATGATTAATAACATAACGGTTATTTTTTAAATAATATTTTTTAAATCTCTTGACAGTCGGAAAAGTTACGCAATTCATTGCTAGACATTTTAGTTTTATATACGGAATACTGAGCCCATTCGTGAAGCCACTGAACACTGGTCGTGGGTTCGTGCTTCGCCAACAGGCTGGCCACGTGAGTTTTCCGGGTTTTTTCCAAGTTAGTAACACGTATACAATTACCAGTTTCCCACAAAAGACCTCCCGGAAAACATCCCCCATTGGCAGATTGCCCATAGAAATGAAACCAAACCAATATGGAACACTAAATTATCGAAATTTTTTTTGGTTTAGCATTTAATTGGGAAGGAGATGAAAATTGAGTTACAAGATTTTATGTAGACAGTAAGAGTAAAATGTGGCAAGGAGTTAACGCTTTTGAACGCGTTTAGTCAAGGTCTATAAACACAATGTCAGGACACTAATGTTCCTTGGGAAGCCGCCATATTGATTCCTTAGTTTCAAGGTCGTGGTATAGATTTCATGCTCTGTACATGCGTTAAAATTCACGTTCCTTCGAGTTCAAGCCATGGAATTGTTTTTATAATTTCAAATAGAGTATCTTTTCGTTTAGAGGTTACTATGACATATAATTAAAGACTTTAACTAAATAGGTTTAAAAAAAGCTATGTCAATGATTAATATGAAACAGTACAAGAATAAATTTATTTAGTTTTAAAATGCAAAATGAGAGAAATTTGGAGATGCTTGTTAAAATAGAAATACAGTATATTTAATTTTCTATGCTCACCTGCATTTTTGATTTACACAAACTGCAAACAGGAGCATCAGAATAAACATATTCTATTTATTATATGCAGTTGTCATTCCTTTCTATCATTTCTTTACTGAAGATTTTGGGCATTATAGTACAGTACATCGGTAGATTTTACTTACAAACTGTAAAGCAAATACATCATCTGTGTTTTACTGTTCAGTTTTCGATGAATATTGCTGTTTATGCAAAAGATTTACCCACACGTTTAAAATTTACCAAATATTTTTAACTAGAAACATAATTTAAAACAAATGGATGACATATCAACATTTATTTATGATATTTACAGTAATTTACACATTTATTTTTATGATCAGCAGAAATAATTTTCTCTTGTCCACTCTTTTAACTTCAAATCGTGACTCCTGAAAATGTATCGAAAAGATTCAGTTACGTTACATCATAAAAGTTATTGCAAACACTTCATAAATTTATATTTTCAACGTTATTTTATCCACTAACCCCATACATCTTCGAATTCTCAGTTATTTACACTTGGCTCTTCTGCAATATTGAAGCCATTTAATTCTCCTGGTTTTGTTAGCGAGAAAACGAAACAATCTTACGCCTTTTACTGACAAAATTTTACAATTTGGTGCCTAACACCAAACCATTTAAAACCAAAATAGTTTTAAAAAAATCTAGTTAATTGAGATCGAAAAATGAAACAGAGTCAAATTCGCTCTATAAACATCGTATACACTACAACAAAGGGAACCAATAGGGCGACTACTGCAATGCATCACGGTATTATGTCCAGACATTCTTCTTTCGTTCGGTTTATATGGAGATTCTGGCCGTGAATCGGCTTTTTCTCCGAATGTCCAGACCTTATGTTTATAGACTTTGGTTTATTAACTCGCGTGTGGCGCCATCTCTTGTCAGATTTTATTTACAAATATTAATTTTTCTCTAATTTCATGGTAACTGTTAAAACTGTTTGCAAACTAAAAAAAGAAATAATGTATTGTTATCGAGAATAACATATGTATACAAAATTTCAAATAGATCGAAAAACGGGAAGTGGATGAAAATTGACTTAAAAGATTTTATCTGGATACAAACAAACAGACACAAAATTAATAAAAAGCGTATAAAAATCCTCTTAATGTCCATAGTGCAAAAAGAGAAAAACTCTGCAAATATATTAAAAACATTTTTTTACGTTTATTCGAAGGTGAAACAATGATTTTATATTGTACATACAATATTCTCTATTTTTCTCTACGGAGAATTAGTTCTTGAGCCATACAATTTCACGAGTCGAATCTCCAAAATTTCCTCTAAAGAATGTTAATTGTCTATATTTTACTCATTTGAATCATCATTATATTTTGAATCTGTCCTCGTTTTGTCCCGAAATATCGAGCCTTCGTTTAATAGTGTTTAAACATTAAAGATAACAATAAATAAACGATAATTTTTATGTTAGTTTTATATTTATCCAATATTGACAGGTACTTTCAATGTAACATTTCATCGTATATTATTGTTCTATAGTCTCTATTTAGCGTTTCCCCCTCTTCTTATAGAATTGTTTCTAGAAAGAGAATTAATGATGTCTCTTGTACTAATTAACATATTAATATTTTTCGTCACCTCGCACATAATTTATTTTTGGCTATCGAATGTGTCGCTTGAATCACACTAACTTCATCTTTTACCGCATTACGTCATAAAGGATGGACAATTACTTGTACAATCGAGAAAAAATATGGTATTTGTGTCCTCAGTCACATTATTCATTCCATAATTAGAATAATTAGGCTCCATTTCACGTATTCCGAATACCTATCGTGATATCCAGATATTATGCTATATTATATTCTGTTTATTGAAAGAATCAACTTTGGTATCATGAGCATCAGTCATTGATCGCTTGGTTGTGGAAAGTTACTTCCTCATTTGTTAAACATGTCACTGCCTTTATAAACAGTATTATGAGAGCTTCACGTTCTGGTATTGGAATAAGAGGAAGTTCGCTATAGTAGTTGTTAAATGTATGATTCTTTACAGTTAATACACTCCATAAAAAATTAACACAGTTAATGGAAAAGTCGTTCCGCCATCTAGTGAGAGAAAAAATAATATGTCAGGCAGTGTGTCAATTTTAAGCGTAAAGTACTGACATCATTAAGGAATGTGCTGATTGGTTTAACTGAAGCGACATCACGCGTGACGTTACTCTCAAGTTGATTCTTTTCATAATTGCTTTAATATAAAACGGTAATTTGGTTATACAATATTCTGACTGGTAAAATATCGAAGTTATCGTCGAAAATCTTTCCAAATAAAGAAAATTTTACATTTTTCTTTTAATAATAAAACTTGAAATTTTGCCAATAATTAAATAAATTAAAATGCTTATAAAGAATGCTTGCTTAACTCAATTGTGATTAAATTTTTAATGAGCTTTAATGTTTTCTTCTAATTTTTCGAGAGATGTGTCAACATTAATTACTATTTTCGTGTTAAGAATTTGAGAAGTTAATGAAGACAAATTAATCTCTTGTCAAAAATTTTCGCGTTAAAAATTAAAAACATTTGTTAATGTAACGTATTTTTTCTTATATTTTGCGTAAAAAAATGGACAGAGTCGCAATTACAAAAATTTAATTCATCACATTTTATTCATCTCGTAAACAAAATAATTTAGTAACTCTAATACAATCGGACAATTACATAATGATTTTTATTCTGGCACTACGACTTTCATCTCGAAATTTTGCTTAAATCAATTCTACTACAACTATAATTTATCAAAAATTATTAAAATCCAAACTTTTATATAAATTTTCCGGGTAATGGTCCGAATTCCGTTCACTAAAAAAACATATTTAAATAATTAAACGACTATAGTCGCGAGGAGGAATTGATTCAAATTCTAACAATTTTCTACATTAATTTGTAAAAAAACTTTTCTACGTAAAAATTTTGATCATTTCTCTTCTTTTCCCGCGTCTTTTCCGTGGCATTCGCCTTTGTCCGTGACGTGAGAGTCATCTCCGTGCGAACATTCCTTCGTACACGTCTCGCTCTTAACATCCACGCTTCCTTCCTTCTGAGTATCTTCGACTGACTTCTCCTCCGCCAGGCCTGCAAAAAATTTGGGTCAAATTCGAAGGAAACTTTATCCTCCACAATAATTAACACCGTAAAAACTTCGCGAGTCATCCAAGGTCGCGGAGTCGACGCTCTCCGAACCAGAACAGGAGCATTGACTGACCGAGTACTTCGTAAATTGAGAACCCAGACAGTGATGACATTAAACAGAAGGGAACCATTTTCTCGTATACTGTTTCCACTATGTTAAAAATGCCAGAGCGCAAGAAAACAAAAAACAAGCGTCAAAAAATAAGCACTCCGAAACTCGCATACTATTCGACTTAACTGTTTAAATTTTTTTGTACCAGTCTTCTAAATTGATTTTTAGTGCCATTAAGGGAAATTCACACGCTATAAAAGCATAAAAATTAAAGAAAAAAGGAAGAAAAATCGCAACAAGCTACAGAAGAAAAAAGCGACCTAAATAATGCAGACAGATCATTTGAACACGTCAAGGGATGATTAACTTTCCGTTAGATTACCGAAAGGAAATGAGTCAGAATCATAAAATCAGGAAGTCGAGACAAAATTTAATTTGCGACGGATTGTAACACTTCCTATTTATCTTCAATGAGAGAAAACGTTAAAAAGAGTACGTAAGTATTGTATATACGCGCACAAAACTATCAAATTTAAATAAATGATATGAAATTCATTTTTTTTAAATTATTTAAAATAAAAATTAAAGTCATAGAGCTGCGATAAGTAACAGAAATTTGAATTTTACGTGCGTTTAAACTTGTTTAAAATTCAAATTACCGTTAGGAGAGGGAAAGGCGCTATAAAGAAAGGAATTTTATAACGTACCTGGGGTAGCTGCCTGTTGGTCACTCATTTCCAAAATACAAATCTAAATGAACTCCTCTTGTTAAAGTAATCGACTGCTTCTACTCTTTCTGATTTATATAAAACCGCGCTCCGATCGCCACGCCTCCCGACGGTACTAAATCGAACTAAAAAACCGTACCATACGTAATTGTGGTTTTTATCATAAACTAGCTGCAAGGACCCGCTTCGCTGGGTTTTTATTTGTGGGCAAAAAGTAACGATAGTGAAGATTAAGATAATTACATTATAGACAATCTTACCCGTTTTCACAGAATGCAAGAATTAGGTCCCCCGTTTCCAGACTAATTAGAGAATTTTTACGTCCAGTCAAACGAACTATTTTCAATTTGATCAATTTTCTGGAACGTTTACAATCGTTCTATAATCGAACCAATTCGAATNCTGAGACTTGGTGCTACTACCACATACAAACACCATTCATGTGCGATGTGTAGTTTTGGCTGAAAAGTGAAATATAGGGACACACACGTCCATTTATATATATGTATATAATTTATATAATTTAATATAAATTATATATATAATTATATTTATATAATTTATATAAATATAATTTTGGTTTTTAATTTCGATTTTAAAATGTTAAAATTATATTTTAAACAGTTTAAAATAAATTCATACGACACAGAATAATCTACGATAAATGTTCATAAATTTCGTAATGTTTTACGGAAAAATATATGTTCTAATGAAACAAAGTCATAAATTTTCCCGAAATTTTGAATATTTTTCGAAATTTTCAGTGTTCGAAAGATATTTTTACAAATTATTCTAAATTGTTTAAGAAAAACCCACGCCTGTTTTGTGTAAATACTTTCCATTCCTTCCACCCGCGAGGAGGATCGCTTTTGGCGTTAATCAAAACAAAAACCTTCAAAAACTTCATCGAACACATTTAATAATTTTAAATTATGTTTTTAAAATATATAAAATAAAAACCTAAAAATGGCGAGGCCAAATCGAGCTTCTTTTTGTACATAAAAATGACAAATTTTAATTTAAGCCTGCTCGATTGTTTCGTCCGAATTCACTTCTAATCAGCATCTTTAGACATATAAATTACACACAAAAGTTTAGTCTACAAACGGACATTTTTACTAGATGGTGATGGTTGGCAGACATAAACAGTACCATCTTTCATCGTCGCCTTCCAATCGTATAGAATTTTCCATCTGATTGCCATTATTGTAAAGAGAGGAGAAAAAAGAAAATTCATTCGTCTCATTAAAATTACAAATAACCGACCTTGTATCATTGTTACAATGATTAACTTCTTTTTGTTTCCATTGCAATTATTCCTGTATTTAGTTAACATTTATTTAAATTAACAGAAAATATTTCGTCTAAGTTTAATTATTTATCATCATTAAACATAACGATTATAATTTAACTAACTCAAAAATGTCTGTGTAAGATAAACTAGTATACACGAAAACACTTAAATATGACGAAAAATTATAATTATTTTTTAATAATATTCGATAGATTAAATTTAAAACATTTATTACAAAAGAATATAGACTTTTTAATTAAAATTTTATAAATTTTCCCGCTTCGTTCTTTAGTAAAGTGATTCATTTTAAATGTAACTTGCAAGTCATTCAATGACTGATATTAACTCGAATTTGAAATTCCTTTATAATTGATCGTGAGATAATTTTTACAAAGACACACCTAACTTCCCCAAAGACGTGACCTTCGTATAGTGACGCGTATAATCGAGTACACGTACACTTCCGGTCGAAGCATGTCCCATTATAAAACGGTAGTACGGTAATCTAGTTCTCGGAATGTGTAAAAAAGCCCGCGAAAATCTTCGTTCGACTTTCACGTGCGGTCGAATGGGTACACAAGCCGATTATTGTTCCACCCCGGGATGAAGGATTGTCGAATGGCTCCTCTCGAATTATCAGAACGATGACTGATTTGTGGGGACGAGTAATGCGATATGATAAGATAGGAGATTCGAAGAAACCCGTCTAAGAAATTATACAAGTGTTTGAATAATTTGATAATTTTTACGATTAGATTTCCGATTCGAAACTAAGGCGTTAACTCGAATTTAAATTTAGTTTCGTTCTTTATTTTTCTAGTTTATTTACTAATTATAAACGTATCTTTGTTAATTCTATTTAGCAGACGTTACACACTTTAACGATGATTTATCTAATTATAATTACTGTTCAGTTTACATTATTTAATTGAATATAACCTATATTTTAGAGCAAAGTCATAATCTATGACTAAAGTTTCGATGAATAAAAATGTTTAGAATATTTTCAGATAAAGAAACCTCAATGTAATGTTACGAGGGGATTTTTCTTCCCAAATTTCTTATGAATTATCAGTTAGAAATTTAATTATTCCTAATTTTCAAATTATAGACAGTTATTTTTATAAATTTAATATAAGATTTTATCAAATTATTTTAATAAATTTGCCAATTTTATTGTAATTATTTTGAGTTTCCCGAGTATAATAAGCTTACTACAAGTTGAGAGAAATATCATTATTCAAGAAAAATAATAATAATAATAATAAGTGTGAAAATTATTCTAAGCTTTTTCTATTAAACTTTTTTATACAATTTGGAGTTTAAGTTTCTAGAATTTATATATTTTAGTTAAAATTAAAGAGAAAGCAATCGAATCCTACACGGAGCAAGCGAGAAACTATAGGAAGACGAAAGAAGATGAAAAAATGACCTTGTATAAACGTTAAATACAAATGTGTAGGCCTAATTACAATTTGTTATTATGAACAATAACAACAATTAATTTATTATTAAACATTTTATTGATTTTCTGCCAAATTTCGATCGAAAATATCCTGAAACAGTACACTTAAAAAATAACCTATTTATTGTTTTATCCCCCTTCGAAAACAATTTAAACAGCGATAAAATTTCAGAATTTCGTCAGTTTTCGAATAAATACATCGTACTTTAGGTTTAAATTTAACATAAATATTTTCATTATAATTCTTTTAATTTGACGATAAAAATCAAAAAATAGTTTTATTTTTCTTCCCAGTAATTCGACACGAGATTGGATCAAAAGCCCACTCTGTCCCTCGCCCTTTCCGAACTAATGTAAAGAATCTGACGTTATAAATAAACTGTATAATGCCTCTTGTGTAATCGAATTGTGAAAGTGAACCAGTCGATGACAGAAATGCCACTTTTCTATTTATCTTCCATTCAAAGAAAAAAATGACTCCCTCTCCGTAGGTACCGACTAGTGACATTGTGTACAATTCACATGGCACGTCTCCTAGTCTCGATTTATATAATATAATTTATAAAATAACATCTTGTAAATATTGATAAATAAAAATTTAGTTTATAAATTACACACTAGAGTCGGAAAGGAGTTTTTCTTCCCGATTTCTAAAATGTTTCTTTTATTCTCAATCAATGATGAAGAAAGAGAAGAAACAGTTTAGAATAAATATTAAGTATTAAAATCGTAAATTTGTCAAAGATCTCATCGCTAAAATCGCAACTAGAAAACTATCTCAAACATTCAAAATAAAATTTAAATAATTCGGAATCTAGTGGTTCAAAATGAGCAAATTATGCCCGGAAGTATAGTATAATCGCCCTGCAATACTTAAAATCGACTTTAACTAACGTAACGTATATTGATATAATTCTCGATCATCTTTTAAAATTTATATTTAAATCATCCGTCTATAAATTATTTTAGACCAAAATTTCAAATCTTGTATAACTTGATGTACAATACACCTTAAGTGTAAATTAAGCCAAATGGCATGAACTGTACAGCATAATAGGCCTACATTCTATTATCTGATAGAAAGAAAATTATGTATATATAATTAAAATTTTCTATCACATTATAGAATTAATCCCTAATGCCTAGTGAATATGATTTATGTTTTGTGGCATTTGAAATAATTAAATTCTGGAAATTAATCTATCAAATTTATACATTTATTTCCATAAGCCTGGGTTCGGATCTCGTTCGTTGTTATATTTTGGGGGTGGTAAAAGGCGTTGCACTCCATACGATTAAAATAACAAAAGCTAAATTATTAATTGACATTATGAAGTATCTATTTTATTCTAAAAAATCGAGGCAGGAGAAAGGAAGTTTTGATATTTTACAGATAAGACAACCTTATCTTTCAACTACATTAAAATTATCATCCATCGTCGATGCACATATAACTACTTAAAAATTCCGAAGGTGGACAACCACTACTGTAAACGGACAGTTATTTGTGAAGGAGCACAGATCGGTGGTTATTATCAACGATTATCGCCCTCCTTTGTAGTAGAAACAGTCATTTATCTAAATCCCAACACTCTTTATCTCTTCTCTCGTATTTAAACGAAACAAGGGACGGCAGCTGCGCTTCCTTTCCTATCCAAAACGAATTTCGAAATTAGGTCACATGATATTTATTATAATTTATTGACTTGCTTAACTTTTATTCCATATAAATGGACCTATTTGCGAAATNATCAACAAGTTTGTTAAAATTTTCATCAATTTATACGAATTTGATTTCATAATGATGAATGATAGGTTCTTGAATGCCAATACTACTTAGTTTAAAATTACAGGAGTGGATTTAGCCTTATCCAGACCTTAAGCTATGCTTTGTAAAAATCTTTTTTCTTCTCTCGGATAAATATCGAAGCCCGAGGCCTTAAGAGACAATTTTCTTTATTTATTAGGTTATAGTTTCATAGCAAATTCTGCCAGTGATTAAACGAAAAGTTTCTTCAGTGTATAATAATTTCTCTAAAGGTTTATAAGAATATTGATTGGCTAATTTTTGTATATTCGAGTCGAAAATTAGAAGAAATGTCTCGGATCGGATATATTTATTGTCTCGTGAATTTTCTTTTTTCATATTCGGGACGAGATTGGATAGATGTTCGCGGTTCGTCAATCCAAACGATTATTGTCCTTTTCAATTTCGTAGCAAGAAGAAAGGCAGGACGAACCCGGTTTTTAAAAAAATTGCAAATCATATTGAAAAGCT